GTTTGGAGATTTCATTGGATGCTTTTGGCAGTAGAGCTAAGACAAAAACATCCCTCAAGTTGTTGAAACTTCAGCATCTCCATAGTCCTGCAGTATGTACCTCGGGCTCTTTGCAGGATGATTTCTCTTCTTACATGTTTGTGCTGTTTCTCCCACACTAGATCTGGATTTATATAGAGAATAAAACTCATTTCAAAGAGAGAGGTGATTAAACTGGAGAGCAATTTCAGACAACACTCCTTTATTCCCACTTAGTGGAGTTGCATTTCTTTCTCTCATGCAGATTTTGATGCTGCTCTTTTGGCAAACCCTTTGATTAGTATGTTGTCATTCCTCTCCTTGAAGAACTTATCTGTTTTCCTTTGGGAAGAGAACTGGTGATTACTGTGTGGTTTCTCACAGACAAACAATGAAAATCAAGGCCAAGTAGCACAGACTGATAGATTTTCCTTTTGATTTATAACTGGTGGTCCTTTTTGTTTTACTGTAGGTATCCAGCTGCAAAACTAAGGCTGAATACTCCACTAAAAGATAACCTTGCAGAAAGGGAAGAGTCTTAACTCAGAACGTATCACTTGAGATAAAATCATGCTTAGAGAGCTTGTGACAAACATTAATCCAGAAAGAAAGCCACTGTGTGAAAAGCTCTATTTGCCTCAATTCCTAAATGTCTCTTCTTTCTTTTCCCCCTCGTGCTGTGTGTGAAGGTGGAAGGAGACACAGTCACCTTCTCCTTTGAGATGCGAAGCGGTCGGGAGCACAACACTCCGGACAAAGCCATGTGGGGCTTTGCCTGCACCGTGCGAGCACAGGTACTCCAGCCTGGCACATCCCTGGGGCAGGCTCAGCCTCCTCTCCCTGCACGACTCCAGGCCAAACAGACCCTCCAAGCTGAGAGCTGGGAGTTAGCACCTTTTCAAAATTACTGATTTTGGCAGTGAGACAAATCAACGCACAGGACCCGAGTTTGGGTGTTTGGGCTCCTTGGCCACGCATCCCTGTGTGGCTGTCACATCCTTAGGGATTCAGGAAGAGAATTGTTGTCAAATGTGTCTCATCTCTCCTCTGTCGTTGGCACTGGACTGGCAGGATGTCACTGTAAGCATCCCTTGCTGCTAGATGAGGATTTCTTGAGAGGGATCAATGTCTTGTAACAACACAAAAATCAGATTTAATGAGGAAACAATGATTCCAGGGCATAAAGAAGAGAGGGGAGGGATGCTGGGATCAAACCAAACGTGTCTTGAATCCCACCACCAGGAAGCTAGGGCTAGGCCTGACAGATCTTCAGGCCAGAGAGTGGCTGAACCAAAAATAACCCTCTTGGTTCAGGAAAATAGCACTTTACATCTCTAATTTCTTGCCTTGTTATAAATTGCTGTTAATTGTTCAGCATTTTTCCATGTACCTCAGTGTGAGAGACATGGTTGATGTGGTTTAGGGGTTACAACAGTGACAGGTTAATGGTTGGACTGGGTGGTCTATTTTTCCATGTACCTCAGTGTGAGAGACATGGTTGATGTGGTTTAGGGGTTACAACAGTGACAGGTTAATGGTTGGACTGGGTGGTCTGTGAGGTCTCCTCCAACCTTGATGGTTCAATGACAGATCCAGAGCTGGAGCTTATATAGAAAAGATGACATAGAAGATCTCCTATCGTGAAATATATTCAATTTCCTGGTTGATTGGCTGGTTAAACTGCTCCCTGTCCCCACTGCAGGAGTCCTCGGAGGACGTGTCGGGAGGTTTGCCCTTCCTGGTTGACTTGGCCCTTGGCCTTTCCGTGTTAGCCTGTTCCATGCTGCGAATTTTGTACAACGGCCCAGAAATTACCAAAGATGAAGAAACTTGCCAGGAGCTCTTGAGATCCAAACTATTACAAAGGTAAAACCAGTTGTGATCTGAGTTCCTATGGGAGAGTATTGAGGGGAGGTGACTTGTGTAGTTGTGCTCAAGTTTTGTGCTTTATAAGGGGATGTTTGGACAGTTTTCCCTGCAGTTTGTTCAGCACTTCTGTGGTGCCCAAAAGTGAGGGAATTTTCTCTCCAATATTTAGTCTTTTGGCTCAGCAGAGGAGGTTTGGGCTGTGCTTGGTATAAGTCACACCTCGTATTTGATTCATATTTAGTCTGTGAATGTGGTGTTGACTCCCTGAATGAGGGAAGAGAGTTAGGGGGAAAATCTTTTTCATCTGTGTTCATTTTCTCTCCAGGTGCCAGTGGCAGGTGGAAGCCAATGGTGTCATCTCTCCAGCCCTTACTCCAAGCCCTTCTCCATTGCCTCTTACTATAGATGAAGATAGGGAATTCACATATCCTTCTGATGTCCTAGTGCCTCCTGTTGGACACTACTTCGACCTGCCCAGGATTCGGCTGCCTCCAGGAATCATGATAAAGCTCAGGGAAATTTCTGGACGTGCTCGGCCTCAGTTTAGACCCAGTATAAAGTAGGTGGTCATTTCCCTCTGGTTTACAGCCTTGGAACTGCAGGACTTAGTGATTTGTAAGTGGGAATTGGCACAGTTACTCGTGATTGATCGGTTTGGCTCTCCCTGTGCCCCTAGGGAAGTGATCCAGCCAGAGGTCATGGAGGAGATGGTGGTGTCCTGTGTGATCAAACACTTGAATTTGGTTGATGCTCTCCAGTCCCTGATCAATTTCCAGTATCAGGAAGAACATGCTGAAGAATATGATTTACTTTGTAAAATCATGGGGGAGACCTTTAAGAAGCTAAATGCCATGGAGAGACAGTTGCAGGTAAAACTGAGATGTCATGAAGAGCCAGAAGGAGTTTTTGAGAGTAAAAGTGTTTTAGAAATGCAAAATGTGCTCAGATTTCTTCTTTTAAAGTCTTTCTGCTCTGAGCAAGTGCAGTAAGTGTTGTTTGTGTGTCTCAGAGCGTGGCAGAGCTGGAGCAGAAGTGGCAGAACGAGGTGGATGATGCCATGCATGGGAAGCTGGAGAACAATGTCCCATTCTTCTATGATTATCACTTCAATGAGGTGAGCCTGGTGGCTGCTGCCCATGCTCCTGCCTCCTGCTGCTCCCTCCAAAAGTCTTCATCCTTTCCCTTCCCTGTGTTTAGAGCAAGATGAAGGAACTGGAGCTGCTGTGTTCCATGAAGGAGGTTTGTTTCGACGGGAGTGATCTGGAGAACGTGGTGCTGGCGTTGAGGTGAGTGGTGGCTGTGGAGGGAACTTTGGGGAAGGTGCTCAGGTGTGCTGCTTCCAGCAGCTGTGGAATTCCAGTGGGTTCCACCAGTAGTTCTGTCTGGTTAAATTGCTAGTGACATTTGTGCCGGATCTATTCACATTGGTACCTACAACTCCTTGTGGTTACTACCAAATCACTGGTTTATTTCCTTCTGCTCCCAACTCTGTTGGCACAAACAGATTGTGCCATTTGTCTCCTTTAACCTTGCTCCAGTAACACTTGGTTCAGAAAGTACAAAAACACAGCTGAGTTTGCTTCTTTTACTTTTCTTTCATCATCTTAGGGAGAAGTTTTTCCAAGAGGTGAATTCCCTGATACAAAAGAGCTCTCACCCCCTGGCAAAAACCAAAACCCTAGTGAAGAGCTTGATGAACAGGGCAGAGCTGTTACTGCATGTCACCATTGCAGCCCAGTCAGGCATCACCAGGAGTATATCTGGGACCCCTGCAGAGACTCCAGGTAGAGATGTTATCATGGCATTTGCTTCTTTTCTCTTCTTTTCTCTCTTTCACTTCAAATTAAACCTTGTTTTTCTTTTCCAAATTAATTCTTTCACAGTAACTGAAGTCAGCCTTTGTTTTCTGAGTAGAATCACAGAACATCAAGGTTGGAGGAGAACCCTGAGGTCATCAAGTCCAACCATTGCCACAGTGATGGGGAATTAACCAATGGCAAGGGTTGGACTTGATGATCTTAGATGCTAAATAAATGGAATTTAAACTTGAATCTCCTGAATTATTGACTTAACCTAAACAAGTCAAAACTAACTTAATACCTGCAAACAGGAAAATCCTCAGATCTTGAGTTACATGTTACTGTTTAGACTTGACTTTCCAACTTAGTTGGGGCTGTTCAGCCTGGAGAAGAGAAGGTTGTGTGGAGACCTCAGAGCAACTTTTCAATACCTGAAGGAGTTACAAGGAGCCAGAGAGGGACTCTGTGTTAGGAACCGCAGGGACAGGACAGGGGAAATGGGTTCAAACTGAAGGAGGGAAAGTCTAGGTTAGATATTAGGAAAAAGTTGTTCTCCGTGAGGGTGGTGAGACCCTGTCCCAGGTTGCCCAGGGAGGCTGTGGCTGCCCCAACCCTGGCAGTGTTCACAGCCAGGTTGGATGAGCCTTGAGCAACCTGCTCTGGTGGGAGGTGTCCCTGCCCAGGGCAGGGGTTGAGACTGGATGATCTCTAAGGTCCATTCCAGCCCCTAAATTCTATGATTCTGTGACTTTCCCCCGCCACGTTTTCGCTCTCGCTGCGCTGCCCACAGTGACTTTAAGCCCAGTTTGCAAGCAGCCTCCCCCCCAGCAGTGACAGTGGTGTGTTTTGCCCCTGCAGCCTGTAAATCAGCCTGTGAGACCAAGGTGATCTCTCCGGCCATGCGGCAGCCCGTGTTCCTGCGCAGCATGTCCGCGCCCTCCGACCTGGAGATGATCGGCAGCGACGACATCGAGTTCGCTCGCGCCAGCCAAAGGTATTGACCCCTCAGTACCTCTGATCCACCCTCTAGATCCCCTCAGCAGCTCACCCTGCTGCTCTGCTAACCCCCCTGTACCCCCACAGGCGCCGGCACGTCACCAGCCACAGGAGCAGCTCCTTCACTCTGCTCCAGTCCTTGGCCATCGAGGACAGCAGAGACAAACCCACCTACAGTGTCCTCCTGGGGCAGCTCTTTGCCTTCATTGGGACAAACCCTGACCAAGCAGTATGTCCTTTTAATTCTGCTCCATCATCAGCCTTTCCCAGAGAAGGGAGGGGTCCTGCTGGTGTCTAACCCCTCACATCTCACAGGTGTCCAGCAGCAGCTTCCTGCTGGCGGCGCAGACGCGGTGGCGACGTGGGAACACGAGGAAACAGGCCCTGGTGCACATGAGGGAGCTGCTGACAGCCGCGGTTCGTGTCGGTGGGGTCACCCATCTGGTGGGCCCAGTGACCATGGTGCTTCAGGGAGGGCCAAGGTTGGTTGGTTTCTCCACAGGTAAAGGGTTTGGGCTCTGTAGGAGATGGTCAGGTGCTTTGTGCTTTAGAAGTACAGGCTGGAGCCACTTTGGCACAAGGGAAGGCATGAGCAGTGAGTAGCTGTGAGGACACAAGTTTGCAGAGCTGAGCTTGCAGCAACAGCTTTGGGCCTCGTGGGGTAAAAAGCCAGAGACTTGTAAGAAATGCCTTTATTTGTCAGCAGATGAACTTTCCTTTCACGCTGGGATGACAAGTCCACAGAGATGGATATAGGGAATCTTACTCTTTAATTCTAAGTTCATGCTCATCCGGTGTGTTAGTGGTAGATTTAGCTGATTCTGTCAGCTAGACTTGCTAAGTGTTTTGTTTGTAGCCAGATTTCAGTCACGTCTGAGCTATAACTACAACACTTTGTCTACATCTGTCTCATAGGAAAACATGGAGTCACTTGGAGTTTTGCTTCTAAACCTTCCTTGACTAATCTCTACCATGTGCTGATTATTTTCTGAAAGCTACATTTGAAGTCTTGTTCATTGTATTGACCCTAGAAACCCTTTAATCCCAAATCTCTTACCTCCCAACAGGATTGAGGAGCTGACCTGTGGTGGGATGGTGGAGCAGGTCCAGGAAGCCTTCGGAGAGACGATGACGTCTGTGGTGTCGCTGTGTGCGCGTTACCCCATCGCCTGTGCCAACAGCATTGGCCTCTTGTGCACTATACCTTACACCAGGTAGGGAAGGGTTTGGGGAAGGGAAGGAAGGGCATCCACACCTGTCCTTCCTGAGCATTGCCTTGAGGAGAAGCTTTCTGTAGTGTCAATATCCTCCCTTTGTTCATCATGAAGAGCATCAGAGAACATCTGTTAGATTGGCTCAGAATACACAATTTCTGCTGGGGAGAGGACAAGGGAGGGACAGAACCTTTCTGCAAAGTGAACTAATGAACTGCTGAGTTGCAAGTTCTGGTTCTCACTGTGTCTGTTTTTAGTGACTGAAAAGTTCCTTTGGTGAAATCTGACTCTCTCTTCTCCCGCAGGAGCGAGGAGAAGTGTTTGGTTCGCAGTGGCCTGGTGCAGCTCATGGACAGGCTGTGCAGCTTGAGCAGCCAGACAGAGTCCAGCTCAAACGAGAAGCAGACCAAGAAGCAGAAGGTGGCCACCATGGCCTGGGCTGCCTTCCAGGTGCTGGCCAACCGCTGTGTGGAGTGGGAGAAGGAAGAAGGTAGGAATGCTCCAAAGGCCTTTTCCCTGAGTGAGTGGTGGTGTCAATGTGTTTCAAGTGGAGCATTCACTCACTGTGACACAGTACTGTCAGGGCTCTCTAGAGCACACATAAGGTGATTCTTGTTGTTTCTTAACTAGCTTTTCCTCTCCATATGGGAGTGTTCATGTTGCAGATACTTTGAGGTCTGCCCCTTGGCTCTGTCTAGACACAACCCTGAGTGACCCTTAGGCAGTTCTCCTGGGATAGCTTCACCCATAGCATCCATAAACTCAGCCATGTGGCTGTTGGCTAACAGGACACAGATCACAGACTATAGGTGTGTACATGAAGTTGTTCATTGATTTGTGTGTTCTGGCCTTGCCTCTGCAGGGGGTTCCACAGAAGCTGTTCACTCAGGGCTGGCCAGGCAGGTCTCCAGCCTCCTCACCAACCACCTGGCCCGAGCCACCGAGTGCTGTGGCAACCAGGCTGCAGGCAATGATGCTCTTCAGGATGTCCTCAGCCTGCTTAATGACCTGTCAAGGTACCAGACCTGTCCTCTGGGGTGTTTGTTCTATGTGTGAAAGCAGTTGTGGGTTCTTTGGGGGATAGTTTTTACAGTAGTGAAGGTAAGATAACTTCCAAACCATTCTTGGTTTGTAAACTCACACTGAATCTCAGTGTCTAACCAGTGCTGTCAAGTTACCCAAGAACTGTTGCAGGTATCTTGTCAGACACTGATTTTTAGTGCATCCTGTAACTAATGAATTGATTTGGTTTTCATCCCAAGACCTTCATCAGTCAGTTACTTCCTTTCAAACAGCAGTGACCTGTTTTTCTCCCTGGCAGGAGTCACATAGGCAAAGCCATCCTGAGCCAGCCAGCATGTGTCTCCAAGCTTCTGTCCCTCCTCCTGGACCAGAGACCTTCCCCAAAGCTGGTCCTTATCATCCTCCAGCTGTGTCGTGCTGCGCTGCCTCTCATGAGTGTCGAGGACTGTGGCAATGTGGAGTTGCCTCCCTGGAGTTACTCAGTGCCCTCCCTGAACAGTGAGCAGGATGATCCCAGTGATCCAGCCTCCAAGATTGCCTCCCTTCTGCTGGCAAAGCTGGCGGATTACGTCGTGCCAGGTACCAGCAGCTCTTGGGTGTCCTGCTCAGGGACTGCCCTGCTCGAGGAAGTCATGTTTTGTAGAACCACAGAGTGGAAGAGACCTGAAAGCTTCCATCCTTCCACCCCCTGCCATGGGCAGGGACACCTCCCACCAGCCCTGGTGGCTCCAAGCCCCATCCACCCTGGCCTGGAACACTCCCAGGGATGGAGCAGCCACAGCTGCTCTGGGCAACCCGTTTCACAGAATTCCACAGTGGGTCAGGTTGGAAAGGACTACAGTGGGTCATCCTGTCCAACCTCCCTGCTCAAGGTGGATCATCCTAGAGCTTCTGCAAGGAGCTTTTGTAGGGACAGAAAGCTCCAGTTTTTCAGGGTGTACAACATGTCAGTGTCTAAGATAACCCTGTGGCTTTCCCCTGTGCCTCCTAATTTGCCTGACCTCAGATCAAGGTGTGAGTCTCAGTGATGTTTTAGACACATCTTTGGTGGATTAGCATTAGTTTCAAGGGCAAGAAGGTTTGCTGGTAAACTCATGGTTGTGTTTTGCTTTGTTTTGGTTTCTTTCCTTTCTACTTCAAGGTTGCCAGACTGTTCTTTCTCCAACTGCCTCTGAGCCAGACACTACCTTGGCAAAAGCCAGCCCTAAAAATTCCATCAAAGGTGATAAAGATCCCGGAGAAGAGAGTGAGGCAGTGGATGGGAAGCTCTCTATTTTCATTCACAAACGAGAAGACCAGTCCTCCCATGAAGTCCTTCAGCCATTGCTAAGGTAACTTAGCACACTGCATTGGAATTAGCAACCAATTTTGCCACTTAAATTTACCTCCCTTTTGTGTAGTGTAGACAAATTCATCCTAGCTGTAATAGCAAAAGGAAAAGCAAAGTGTCTTCCCAATTTCTTGTGTTTACTGGCAAAGCAACCAGATAATGCAAAGACACATCAGAACATCTTCATCTGTCTGAAAGCAACCACATGAAAAGTTAGCTACTCAGAGTCAGTTTTCCTGATGGAGCATCATTTGTCTTGTTTGTGTGACAAACTGTGCAGGGCTGAAAACACAACTGTCAAACCAAATGGCTCTAAAAGCATTGCTTTAATAATGCATCAGCTGGACAGTAATCTCTTACACCCTCCTTGGTATTCCCAGTCCCCACGTGGAGGTTGGGATCGCTGAATGCCAAACAGCCTCATGCATTCTGTGCTCTTTGCCTCATCTTACCTCACTCCAGTTTTGAACCTATGCCCTGAAAGTCCTACTGAGAGGTACAGGTGAAAGGCAAACTCAGAGCCCTCAGGCATTTGTGATCAATAAAAGCCATTTTACGGTGCATTTGAGGCAGGAAGAGTTACACTGCTATGCAAATAGCTGCGTTCAGTAGTGTTAAATTCCTCCTGTCAGTGCCAGTGCAAATGTCCTTGACTGCCAAGTGCTTCTCCTGCTGTTGAGCACTCAGTTACCAGAGTTAAAATCATCCATGATACACTGAATTGGCCTATGCAGTTCTGCTCTGTGTTCCAGCAGTGAGAACAAAGCTTATGGGTTCTGTTTGCACCCCAACAGTAGCTCAGAGGGTCGTCCCTTCCGACTGGGAACTGGAGCCAACATGGAGAAGGTGGTGAAAATGGATCGAGACATGACAAAGGTAAGGGAAGGAGTAACTAAAGGATTATTCAACATCATAAAAATCAGTACCAGTCAGAACTGGTGGGTTTCATTCTGCTAAATCTCCTTTGTTCAGTGTTGTTTGATTTACAGAACTGTTCTGGAAGAGAGTTGATATGTCATGTTTGCATTGTATAGTCCTGCTGTAAATTCAGGGGTGAATGGGGACAAGGAGTTGCAGCTAATGCTTCCTGCAGCCTCTGTAGGTCATGTTTGAGCCTCCTTCACATTCTCCTTCATCAAGTGTTTCATGCACAGATTTCCAACCACATACCCCAAAATATACAGGAAATTTTAATTTAAATATGTTCTTGAGTATTTGCACCAGAAATGCTCATTTGGGGCATTTTATGCAGAGAAACTCTGCTGTTAATGTAAGAATGGAATATTAAAGTCAGTGAATCTCTGGTCTCTTTGTAGATGATACAAAGAAAGAGAAATAACTTATCTTGTGACTGTGACTAATACACACCCAGGAGGGTGTTTGCTGTGCTCTCAGTGCTGTGACACATGCAGAGGGAGGAGAGTGACCAGGCAGAGCTAACATGGGGATTTTTATGGTGATTTTCTTTGCAGAGTGGCTGCTGTGAAGTTATCACAGAGGAAGCTGCTGCAGCTCTTCGAAAGGCAACCAAGTGGGCACAGTCTGGGCTCATAGTGAGTGTTGGGCCACCCATAGAAACTGTCAACCCAGAAACCACCAGTGGCTTGTCCACTGGGGACAAAAAGAAGACAGCACAAACTTCTATCTGCAGAGAGAGGAACTCTGAGCTCGCCAGGTAGGGCACAGGGACTGGATTCTGCTTCTCTGTGTGCTTGGGGTGCTCCAGGAGATAAACCTGAGTGCTCAGAGACTTCCTTTCTTGTGCTGGGTGTTGTTGTGGACAACTGAAGCTGCTTTACCTTCTCTTGTTGGGAAGCTAATGGTCCAATTGCTGTTTCTGCACAGGACTGACCCTGTGAGGCCTTTCATCAGTGGGCACGTGGCAAACAGCATGGCAGCAGAGGTGATTGCTTTGCTCCACAGCTTGTTGATGGCACCAGAGTCAAATGCAGCTCAGATATGGACAACAACTGCTGAAAAAGTAAGCAGAGAGGAGGTTAACTCTCAGATTCTTCACTGTGCATGTATTGAGGGGGTAAGAGAATGGAATTAGGAGCGGGTTCCTTTGCTGTACTACACCCAGCACTTCACACTGGGTTGTGTGAGAGCTCAGAACCAGCTCTTCCCAGCAGATGGAATTTACCTGGTTGGCACATGGTGGGATGAATAATGAAACGTTAGCTGATGTGTTGTCATGCTGTAATCCACCTGCCATTCTTGTCAGGCATTGTTAGTGCTGTTGGTTAGGGAGTTCCCTTGCCTTTCCCAGCTAGTTATTCCACTTGCTGTTGATTCCTCTTGGCCTCTGAGGGCAGAAGGGGTTGGCTGGAACATATCACATTGCTCTTAGGTTCCTCTGGATCCTGCAGCACCTGATCCGTTGCTTAGGTGAAATCCTTGAGCAAAGACTTGTGCTAAGATTATCTTCCTTAAGTTCCCAGGGAATGGACTTGGCTTTGAGGGTGTTCACACCTCAGGAACTTGGAACATTCTGCATTGTGTAGTTCTCTTCAGCATCAGCAGCAGTTCTCTGAGGCTGTGTGTGGGCTGCAGGCTCAGGGCTTTGCTTCCACTTCGGGTTGTGCTTTGAAGTCACTCAGTGCTGTTTTGGCTTCTGTCCTCAGGTTCTGTCCAGGGCTCTGATGTACATTCCACAGCTTGGGAAGTATGCAGAGAGCATTTTGGAGAACGGGAGCAGCAGTGGCAGGAAACTGGCAAAGCTTCAGAGGATCGCGCGGCAGGCGGTGGCCGCTCTGTGTGCCCTGGGGGGCTTCAAGGAGACCATCAAAATAGGTTCTGAAGTTCAGGTAATTCAGACACTGAGCTGGTGCTTGGAGGATGTTCTGGGATAGCTGTGGGCAGTGTGCACAGTGCCTGGGGTTGGGAAGCAGCTGCAGTGTCACCTGTGGAGACTCACTCCTGAAGAACCTCCCTTTGGGTGTTGAGCTTTGGGGTGTGATGCTAAACACTGGCTGACTGTTCTTTGCAGAGCTTTCAATCTCACGCAGACCTTCTCTGGTTGTAGGTTTTAGGTAAAGGAATAGCAGGAAGCATTGGAGTTGTGGCATCTATTAATGAACAAGAAGGTATAGCCACGGTCAAATTTCCACCTCCCACTCTAGACAGTAGAAAGACCTCCCAGGCATCAGACACATTAACTATCCCGTTATCTAGGCTCTGTGTTCCAAGATCTGAGGTAGGAGAGTTTCAACAATCCAATCTCAAGTGTAATATCAATTGTTTATCTCTATTTGTCACAGCATACTGACAATTAATCTACAGCATGTAAAAAAACAAAAGTCTTGTTTCATCTTTGCCTAAAGATTATTTGTAAACTTTGCCTTATTATTTAAACATACCTTAACAATATCTCTGTTTGAGTTCTCATACAAGTAACATGAATATTCACCTGTTGTGCCTAAAGATGTTCCATTGCATACTGTGTTGGGTTTTTGCTTTGATTTCTTGTGTTTTCTTTCCTTTAACTGCTGTTTGGTGCTGCTTTTGTGCTAGTGCAAAACGAGCATTAACTCCAGGTAATAAAACACCCTCATTTCTTAGAAACTAACGACTTGAATTTAACTTTTTGCCGTGCCCCCCAACCATCAGGCATTGCCTCTTCATAAACTGTCCATTACTGAGAAGGTAGTACAGGCAGTCCAGTCCATGTTGCTCCCTCAGGAGGGAAGTCTATCTATTCACACCTCACTTCCTGCAACAGGAGATGGCTCAACTCCAGTAATGGCAGTGGTGCGACTTCTGGCTGAAATCAGAACCAGGTGAGTCCTGCCCATGGCTCTGGGCAGCACCTCAGGCTCTTGTGTGCACAGACAGCCAAAGGAATTGCATGGATTCTTGGGAGCTTCCTCTGGGGTGTTGGCATAGGACTGTAAAAGTTCCTGTTGGCTTCCTTAAGGCCATTCAGTGTGTGGATGTTTGGAAGTCAAGTGTCCCTGTAACACTGCACAGAGCAAATGCTTCATCTGACCACAGTGCTGAGGGCAAGGGACTGGATCCCAAGGGAAGCTGTCAGGGGGATGTCCCAGTGCACTGGATCCCAGGAGAAAGCTGTCAGTGGGAACATCCCAGTGGTCAGCAGCAAGCAAAGACAGATCAATTGACAAACTGAGTTTTAAACCTGTGTTGAATGCAATACATGTGAAGACAGCTTGGAATCGAGCCCACACATCTGTAATGCTGTTTGTTCCTGGTGTTCCCACTCAGAGCATGCCTGGTGATGGCTCAGCTGTTGGAAGACAGCTCATTCTGTGAAGAGTTCATTCAACAATGCCCAGCTGCTGTGGAAGTTCTGAACTTGGTAGCACAGGAGTGCAGCCCTGGTAGGTATCCAACCCCTTCCTGCAGCTTCGTTGTCCTCCCCAGGTCAGGAGCAGATCAGCTTTTACAGTCACCTCAGTGTTTTGTCCTCCAGCTGTGCAGGGTTTGAACTGGCACAGTACAGAGTGTCTTGTCAGAGCTGCTGATGGAAGAGCAGCTAATAATCAGACTAAATCATTAATCATTAGGCATAAATTGAGGCAGGAACGTAATTATTCTAAGCACCATAGAAGGTGTAATTCCTGGCACTGCCTCTCTTCTGAACCCTCTTCTTGCTTCCAGTGTGTCCTACTCTGTCTTCCTTGGCATCATCATGTATATGTTTCCTTTTTATGCCCTTTTTGCTGTGTTTTACAATGTTTTCTTATACTCCTTATCACTGAGCTCTTGGACTTCCTTCCCTCTAGTTTAAGGACAAGCATTGAGCCCAACAGAAGTCTTAGTTCAAGGGCAAGTTTAGGAACATGTCAGAGCCTTTCCTTGGAGGAAAAGTGGCTGAAGTGAAGGATGTTACGGTTGGAGTGAAGGGATTTCAGTGTGATCTCTGGTGGAGAAGGGAGAGCAGTGATTTTTGGACAGTAGGCATAAATTCCTGTGTCTTCCTGCCTTTGCTGGGCCATAAACTTCCTAAAATGAACTTTTAATATTAATTGACATAATTAAACATGAGGAAAATGCTTACATACGTTAGATTTTGTCCTTAATTTTGTTGTTTAGGTAAGTGAGACTGATCAGATCTTTTAAAATGCAAATGTCACACTTGTTTCTACATTAACAGTGCATTTTTGGGACTTGGGGAACTGGGTTTTCTTGGAAGCTGATTCCTTGCTTTGCTGTTGCAGGGGAGAGGCTCCTGGTGGTAGAAATGCAGTGCGAGAGGTTACGAATGTTGTATCGTGACTGTGCTCGACCTCCACCTCCTCCACTCCAGGCAGACAGAAGGCAGGTGAGCCCAGAAATGGTGCTGAGCCTTCTGCCCCATGGGCACGAGGCCCCAGCCCTGAGGGCAGAGAGGCTGCTGTGCTGGGGCAGCTTGGGTTCCTACCTGAACGTGTGGTGAGATGGGACCTGTTGTGGTGGTGCATGTGCACCTCAGGAGTGTGTGATCAGACTCTGTGTGTGGCTTTGACTGGAACTGGTGGAACAACGTGCTGTGTTCTCCTTGCAGCCCAAAGAAATCACGTGGAGCCCCTCAAGAGTGTTCCCCCCAGTGAGAGCCTGCATGTTCTCCTCACACCTCGCGGCCGTCACCTTCCTGGCTGACCCCAGTGCAGGGGGAGGACTTCCCCGGGGCACTTTCATCTATGCCACCTCCCCAGTTCCAGTGCAGGTAAGAACTCAGAGCTCCACAACTCTTTGTGCCATTGAACAGTCAGCAAAGAAAGAAAAAAAGACAATTTTCTCTATGTTTTATAAAGAACATTATAAAAAGTATTCCTTGGAGTTGGGATGTTCAGGGAGCTGAACAGGAGCAAGCAGTGTGCTCAGGTGGCCAAGAAGGCCAATGGCATCCTGGCCTGGAGCAGGAAAAGTGTGGTCAGCAGGACCAGGAGGGGATTCTGCCCCTGCACTCGGTGCTGGTGAGGCCACACCTTGAATACTGTGCTCAGTTCTGGGCCCCTCAGCTCAGGAGGGACATTGAGGTGCTGGAGCAGGTCCAGAGAAGAGCAACGAGGCTGGTGAAGGGACTGGAGCACAAGTGCCATGAGGAGAGGCTGAGGGAGCTGGGGGTGTTCAGCCTGAAGAAGAGGAGGCTCAGGGGAGACCTTCTCACCCTCTGCAACTCCCTGACAGGAGGTTGGAGTCAGGTGGGGGTTGGTCTCTGCTCCCAGGCAACCAGCAGCAGGACAAGAGGGCACAGACTCAAGCTCTGCCAGGGGAGGGTTAGGTTGGATATTAGGAAGAGATTTTTTAGGGAGAGAGTGCTCAGGCATTGGAATGTGCTGCCCAGGGAGGTGGTGGATTCACCACCCCTGGAGGTTTTCAAGCTGAGACTGGATGTGGCACTTAGTGCCATGGTCTGGTAACCATGGTAGGGGTGGACTTGATGATCTTGGAGATCTTTTCCAACCAGGTTGATTCTCTGATTCCATTTTTATTTCTAGGCACCATCGTTCTATTGGGAGATTGAAGTGGTTTCCTATGGAGACACAGATGATGACACTGGGCCAATAGTTTCCTTCGGATTTGCCACAGAAGCTGAGAAACGCGACGGTGCTTGGACAAACCCAGTGGGCACCTGCCTCTTCCACAAGTATGTTTTCCACCCAACTCCTGGTGCTGCTCAGTCCTTTTGTCAGCAAATCAGGGAGGATTGTGCTGAGCATGTTGTAAGCAGCGTGCATGTTTGCACTGAGGTGCTAAAATGGTGGGTTAGAATGTCTCCCTTGCAGAACAGAGCTGAGTTGCCTTCTCAGCATCTCAGCTGGTCGTGGGTTGTAGAAATGCTTTGAGTGCTCTGGTTAATTCTCTCCTTGTGTTGCCCCACAGCAATGGGAGAGCAGTGCACTACAATGGCTCCAGCCTGCTGCAGTGGAAGAGTGTCAGGCTGGATGTGACTCTCTGCCCTGGTATGTGAGATTATAGCTCGTTTTCTTCTCTGGCAAATCACAAAATCCTCTAAATAGAAGGGAAACAGTGGTGAAAAAACTGATTAAATCCTTCTTTTTATGTCTCTCTCCAGGGGATGTGGCAGGAATTGGCTGGGAAAGAACAGAAGGAACTCCTCCTCCCCCGGGGCAGCCAGCTAAGGGCAGAGTTTATTTTACATACTGTGGGCAGCGACTTGGGCCGTACCTGGAGGATGTCTCTGGTGGAATGTGGCCAGTTGTCCACATTCAGAAAAAGGCAAGTTTGTGACAGCAATGTGTTACTCAATAGACTTTCAGAGATATTAAACCCATAATATAAAACCTTGAGCCTGCTGACCTAGCTATAAATGAGTAATTTTTGTCTTCCTGATCAAAGTATCATTAGCCTTCCCAGGTGCACATGTTTTGTCATGATTTGGGTGGGGTTTTTGCCCATTAACACACTAAAGTGCCACTGACCTGATGAGATGCCATTTTTCTGGGCTTATTAGTATTCCAGCCCAGCAGTGCCCTTGCTTCAAAGCACAGCAGCTCAGCCTGTGCCAAAAAGGCAAGTTCAGAGTTTGTGTTGAGCAGCTTAGCGCTGTCCCCGCTGCATCCAGCAAGAGGATAGCTGCCGAAGCCACGGGGCAGGGGGTGTGAGCAGCTTAGCCCTCTGGCTGAGGAAGCTCTAAACAGAGTAGAGGGAAGGTTCAAACCAATCCACAGCTCCTCTCAGTGCCATGCTGTGCATCTCCTTGCAGAACACCAAGGTGAGGGCCAACTTCGGCTCGCGGCAGTTTGCCTACGCCGAGGGCCAGGCCCACCGCAACGCGGCCGATCTCTGCATCGACCTGGCCGAGGAGATCAGTGCCAACTTCGAGGCCCTACCCTTTGCCATGGCTTCTGACAGTGACAACGATGCTGGCACCAGCATAGCCTCTGACCCTGGCACCCACGGGCCGCCCTGCCGGATCGCCGCCGTGGCCACCGCCCAACAACGTAAAGTGATGAGTAACTCGCTCCCCACTCTCCTCCAGGAGGAATGGCAATTAAGTAGGGTTCAAGCCCAGTCTGGCTGCAGTCCCTGGTTAGGTAGAGCAGTGCCACAGGCACTGTCAGATCCATAGAATCTCCATGGATTGGAGTGAACCTTAAAGATCATCCCATCCCACCCCCTGCCCTGGGCAGGGACACCTCCCACCAGCCCAGTTCCTCAAAGCTTTATCCAACCTGGCTTTGGGTTGAACTTCCACAGTTTGAAAGAAATCCATTATTTTAGGCAACACAATTAAATAAATCATCTTTGATCTTCCTCTATTCAGATGCACAAATTATTCTTAATTAATGCAGCTACAATGGGGAATGATCTCATTAAGGGCTTGGAATACAAGATGATGTTATGGTTGATTGGATCAGCCAGTTGGTTATGCTGTGTCAAAAGGCATTACATTCCCACTGACTGGCTGGAGACCACGGAGTGCAGCACATCTCAGACTTCATGGAATATTTACATGTGTTAGGGTCTCATCATTGCTGTCTGTGCCTTGCAGAGTATGACAGTGACACATCCTGCCACTACAAGATGGAACTGAGCTATGAGAACTTCATCACATCAGGCCCTGACCCTCACCCCCCTCCTATTGCAGATGATGAAAGTGATGATGATGATGACGATGATATTCCCAGGGTGAGGAACATGGAAAGCTCAACCTTCTGTAACTTAGTCTGACAACAGATCTGATCACTCAGATACTGAAATTTTAGCACACAAGGATTTTCCCTCTTCCCTCACAGAAACAGAGCTGCTGTTAACTTCTTTCTTCTTGGTGTCCTAAGCAGTTTCTGTCTTTGTAGGAGGATCACTATGCTCTCCTGGTTAAAGCCTGGGAAACCAAAGTATTCCCTACCATTAGGAGAAGATTCCGTAATGAGGCTGAGAGGAAGTCTGGGCTGGATCAGATCAAAGGAGCTCTGCAGTTAGGTATGGCTCTGCTTATCTCCATGTTGTATCTGTTACACATGGTGAGCAGTAAGTGGGGATAACAACTGTGTTTGTTTCATGCTTTACTGAATTCTGAGCTGGGAAAGTTAACTTAAAACAAAAAATCACTTGCAGTTTCCCTCCAGTGCTTAGAATTTGATGTGGGATCATGATTTCTCTGTAACACTTAAGTTGGACTGTTTACATAGGGAAAATCACTTTGGAAATAGTGACAGTTTGTTGTGATGTGAATACAGAAATGTTCAGGAATAATAGTTTGGGAAGAAATTACCTACATGAATTTTCTGTCTGTGACTATATCAAGGCAAAATTTTTCAGGAGCATTTTAATAGGGAGAGATTTGTAAATGAATCTAGGTCTGGCAGGACAAGAAGTTTGTGGGAAGGTCACAGTAAGAGTGAGTTAAGACTTCTGAGCCCCAGTGAGAAGTGCAGAAGTCAGGAAAGCTCCAGTTCTTTGCTGTCAGCCTGGCTAAATATTGAAGTCATTAGACAACTCACCTGCTTGGGATCTTAGGGAGAATAGGAACTTCTTTCAGGTGTCTGGGGAAGTCACTTGCACTCCCTCTGTCTGCAGGAATGGTGGATATAGCAAGGCAAACTGTGGAGTTCCTCTATGAGGAAAATGGAGGCATCCCCAGAGACCTTTACCTTCCCACGATTGAGGACATCAAAGATGAAGCAAACAAATTCACAATCGATAAAGTGCGGAAAGGTAAGGGCAACAAAAGTATCCTGAGGGGAAAATCCAAGCTCTGGCACTTGGGATCTGCTGCAGAAACAGTCACCTGAGGAACCTGTACCTTAAAAGCTGTTGTGTCCCCCTCTGGCCAGGTCTGACGGTGGTGACTCGCTCTCCTGACAGCAACAACGTCACCAGCAGTGCTGTAGGAACAGCTTTGCCCAAGTTTGCTATTCGTGGGATGCTGAAGACATTTGGCCTTCATGGTGTTGTCCTGGATGTTGACTCAGTGAGTAAAGATGCACTGGGAGGGCTTATCATGTACCAGCATCACACAGCTGTGAGCAGGTGGTGCTGGTTGGACTTGGTGATCTTAGAGGTCTCCTCTGGCCTTGGTGATCCTATGATTCCACGCACCAAAAACTGCTCAGGATGCTGATTTGGTGCTGTCTTGGAAGGCAAAATGGTCATGCCTGTGTTTCTTGACAGTGTTGGTGTGTTGGTGTTGCAGGTCAATGAACTGGTACAAGTGGAGACCTATCTCCGGAGCGAGGGAGTTCTGGTGAGGTACTGGTATCCCATTGACATGTTGGAAAGGCCACCAGCAGGATACAGGAGGACTGCAACAAATGGGTTGGTCACCCTGGATAACACCAACATCCAAATCCACAGGTGAAAATGTAGTTAGAAGGCATTGGGATTATTATCTGAGTTTGAATGATCTCACTTGGTCTGCAGTCCTGTAGTACAGTTACCTACTCCTGCCTTATTTTAGCAGAAACTTCTGAATCTGTGTGTAACTGTTGGGTTAAGGCTGAGAAAGGTTCGTTAAATACTCATGTTTTAATGGGGTAGTTGGGTTTGGTTTTTGGAAGGGTTTTTGGGCTTTTGGCAATACAGGAAATTGGTTGTAACTGTGTTGTTGGAAGGAATTTTACACATGCCGATGTGACAGGAATCTTCCATGGAGCTGAGGTTTCTTGCACCATCATCAGCTCAAGAGCTCTTGGCTGATGCTGTGGGGAGTTGGCTTTGAACTCAGGTGCCTTAATTTGGGACCAGAATTAGTTGGGCTGAGACTGTCTTAAGTGACTAAGATTTAGGTCTACTCGAACCTTTCCCAAAACAAGGTGGATGTGTTTGGATCCAGGCACAGGTTGCTGGATGGGACTCACTGTAAGTGTGGAGAAGAACTTGACGTGTTGCTGTTTGTGTTCCCAGAGAGCTCCTGCGCAGCGAAGCTGCCCTGGCCAAGCTCTACTGCCGCATGGCTCTGCTCAACATCTTTGCCCCCAAGTCTCCACACATGTTCACTCGGCTGTTCCACATTCCTGCGATCCGTGACATCACCCTGGAGCACCTGCAGTTGCTCTCCAACCAGCTCCTTGCTCCACCTCTTCCTGGTAAACACTCATTTTTTTGTCATAGCTCTTTAGGTACAATAGTCTGCTGGGGACAGAGAACTCTAATTAATTCAGTACTTATTGATGAGTTAGCTAGTAATGATGAAAGTTCAGAGTCCCTCCTAAGATTCCCCTCTGTGTCCTCCTGTCCCTTTGTCACTCTCTCCTGTTGATTGGCACTGGGGGAGTGTCCATGTGGGATACTCATAAGGGATTGAGATGGTTTCAAAGTTCCAGCCCAGGGCAATAAAACTCAATGCCAGTTGGGTCTCTCAGCTCTCAAAATTCAACTGTTCTTCACTTCCCAAAGTGGTTTGTTGTCCTTTTCCTGCTGGAATCACAGATCTGGTTAGAAAAGGGTTGTGCTGAATCATGGCAAAGAATCTTTGGCTCATTCAAGTGAGTGTTGACAAAGACAGTGATTGTGGCAAAGCTCTTCTGCGTGCAGAGAGATGTGTGTCGTGGCTGGAGCATAAGGAGGAAGTTGGGAGTGCTGAGTATAGGCTGTTAATAATAGAAAGTGGTTATTTACCATTGGAAAGAGTCCTGTTCCCTCCTCCCATTCCTCTAAAACTTGGCTACCTCTGAGATGCCTCGTTGTAAGCAATCCCTGTGCAGAGTCCAGGACTACTCTGCAGGTCTAGTCCTGGGTGCATCCTTTCTCCTGCTGACCTTTGGGAGAAGTTTTCCCTTGTAATCTTCCAAGTGTTTTAAGGCTTCTTTCCAGTGTCTGTTTCACAGGCTACAGGGACATGCTGAAGTGATCTCACACTTGTTGTTGCAGATGGCACAATCAGCTCGAGCTCTATTCTCCTGGCCCAGTCCCTGCAGCACTGCATCCATTCCCAGACCTGTGCTGCCACAGACCTCTTCTACCAGGGCAACTCTCAGGCCATCAGGGAGTGGCTCACTGTGGCCATTACTCGGACGCTGCACCAGGGAGAGGAGAGTCTCTTAGACCTCACCAAGCAGATCTGCTCCTTTTTGCAGGTGAAATCCTGAGTCCTGTTTCATGAGTGTTGGTTTTCTCTCTGAGGAGCCCTTGCTTTGTGTGTGAGCCGTATTTCTGTCCCTGCCAGGGAGTTGTTTGTCTGATGGGCTGTGTTCCCACCCTGGTGGTAGTGGGCACAGTGGGAACAGAGCAGTAGCAGTGCTCTGGGCCGTGTTGAAGTGAGGTGGCCTCATGCTGCCTCAGTATCTACAAGGCTGTGTTGGAGTTGAATGGTGAGGAGGGAGGTGATTTGCTGCCGTTTAGGATCTTTCATGATGTCAAACTCTGTTCCAGGCGGCACCAGAACAGTTGCGTGCTATTCCCCATTTCAGAATCCAAAGTCAATATGGATGTGAATTTTCCTGGGGCTGCATTTGTGATTGTGTCCTGTAAGGAAAGTCAGTCTGGATTCCGCAAGGAGTAAGTCCCTGGGGGACAAAGGGTGAAGATTCAAGATGTGGCACTGAGCTGAGTGGTGTGACTGGGTTGGGATGTTGTAGCCAGTCAGGGCCTGACCAGTCTGTCCCTGCTCTTTCCTCAGCTCATCCCTGTACAAAGCTCCCTGGGCTCGAGTGCTGGTGTATGGGCTGGGGCACAAGGTGAAGAGGAATGGGCAACTGAACCTGATCGAGGCCGTGTGCTACCCCCGCGACGCCTCTCCCACCAACACGGGGCTCACGCCGCCCCCCACCACCAACCAGTACCCCTCTGTCATCACCCCCACCGACAGGGTCCACATCAAACTAGGTAACAACGTGAGCACCAGGCTGGGAGACTGCTCTGAGAGCAGCGAGTCCAACCTGTGACCTGACACCACCATGGCACCGCGTGCCGCGTCCCGTCCGGCCTCAGACACCTCCAGGGGTGGTGTGTCCACCCCCTCCCTGGGCAGCCCCTTCCAGTCACCCTTGCTCTAAGGAGATCCCAATGTCCAACCTAAACTTCCCCTGGCACAGCTTAAATACAGTTCAAAAGTCTTTCTAACTAAGCTCCTTTGGTCTGACCCAGTCCAGACTTCTCTCAGCCTTGTTATGGAACCTTCTGCTAATGGTAGGGAATATTTTAGTGTCCCAGACTTCAGCCAGGAGAGCATAGTGATCCTCCTACAAAGGCAGGAGCTACTTAGAACACCAGGAAAAGTTAACAGCAGCTCTGCCTTTGTGAGGGAAGAGGGAAAACCCTCGTGTGGTAAAATTTCAGTCTCTGTAATGAGACCAGAGGGTCATAATTACTTCTGTAGCACCTTCTGTGTTGTCACCAGTGCTTATGGCAGCATTTTTGTACAAGGTATCCCTAGCAGCAATTTGCACTCATTCTGAGCTTAAAACCCCATGATTTTGTCACCACTGGAAACATCTGACTCTGAGTTTGTTAGTTCTTTTAAATCTATCAGGCCCTGCTTTTTGCTTTCTGATTTTTTTTATGTTCCAGAAGTTCTCCAAGCAGTGTTTTTATTCAAGATACCAAATTCTGCAGTGTTCTGCCATTGCTGATTAAAATGGAGATTATATTTTCCCTTTCTAGGTGCTTGCAGGGCCCTCAGACAGAGTGATGTATGTGCAGTGTAGCAACGCACAGGTCACCCCAGCAGGAGGAATCATTAATGCAGCCTGAGGGAGAGACAATGTGATTGGAGCTGTGAAGGTGACCGAGTGCAGTAATCTCTTCAGACTTTCCTTGGAGGTCCTTCAGTTCTTTGGCTGAACTTGCAGCACCTCTGATGTTGTTCTCAATACCCATCACACACAGATATAAATGATTTGGGAAGAGTCCTCAAAGTATTTAGATATGTACAGGCTCAGAATTGCTCTGTCTCACTGTCATGTGAGCAAAGTGTTCTCTGTGCATGTGTAATTACAGATTATATCAACATAGCAGTATAGGTAAACATTCCTATTTGTTTGTTAAAAGGTACTTGGAGAAATTTCTCACTTCACATGAATTTAGCCTCAAAAAATCCTAGAAGATTTATTACTACTTTACAAATTTCTAGGGTGATGAGAAGTTTTTCTCTGACCTTTTTGCTTAGGAGTGTCTCCTCCTCCTGGAGCTGTGTTGGTCCTGCATTCCCTGCCCCTGGAATTCCCCCTGGCAATGGCATTCACAGAACAGCTCCTAACTTGGAAATTGGAAGATGGGGATGGAAAATCAGAAGATGAGCTGGATACTATTCCTGCTTCAGTTCTCTTGCAAGTGGTGGAATTTCTAGGTGAGTATTTCCTTAGCAATGAGCTCCAGTGATGTGATTACACTGATAACATTCTGAGTGGAATTCTGCTTCCAGCTCCAGAAATTCTGTTGATCTGCACTTGTTGGAAAAACCTTTCCTGTCTCCTAGTGCTGCCATGCAGCCACTGAAAGGAGCTTTTCTTGTGCTTCTCTGATGTTTCCTTTGCAGTTCGTGTTACAAAGCTGCTGAGTGAAGCACTGCTGAGTCCATGTCTTGCTTCCTCACACAGGGAACTTCCTCTGGACAACTGACATGGCAGCCTGTGTGAAGGAGCTGATATTTCACCTCTTGGCCGAGTTGCTTCGCAAGATTCACACTCTGGAGCAGAAGAAGAATCCAGCAGGACTCTCCTCCTCTATTGCCCTGCAGCTCAACCCCTGCCTGGCCATGCTCATGGCCCTGCAGTCAGAACTACACAAACTCTACGATGAGGAGACCCAGAACTGGGTGTCTGGCAATGCCTGTGGGGGCTCTGGGGTTGGAGCTGCTGACCAAGGAAGGTTCTCCACGTATTTCCATGCCCTGATGGAAGTTTGCCTGGCTGTGGCTGAAGTAACCTTACCCATCAACATGAGCGTGACAGCCAACGTGATATCCTCCACAAGTGCCCCAAACCTCAGTGACTCCTCATCCTCATCCTCGTCTTCCCCAGGGCAGACCCCGCAGAGCCCAAGTTTGCTGTCCAAGAGGAAGAAAGTCAAAATGAAGCGGGAGAAAACCTCCTCCTCGGGCAAACGCTCCTCGTCCCGAGCCGCCGAGACGGACGCGGCGCTGCTCAGCATCGGGGGCAGCAAACCCGAGGACATGCTGTGGTTCCACAGAGCTCTGACGCTGCTCATCATCCTCAGGCACCTGACCAGAAAGGATCCGCAGGGCCTGGGCGTGACGAACGACGCGGTGGCAGACGCGTGCCAGGCGCTGGTGGGGCCCACGGCGCACAGTCGCTTGCTGGTCATCTCGGGCATCCCCACCCACCTGGAGGAGGGCACGGTGCGCAGCGCCATCAGGAAGGCCTGCAACGCCCACGGCGGCGTCTTCAGGGACGAGATCTACATCCCCCTGCAGGAGGAGGACCCCAAAAAATCCAAGGACAAAGCAGAAGGGGGCGAGTGCAGAACGGAGCTGGAGAAACCGACGGTGTCCAGCAGCGCGGACAGTTTGGATATCAGCAGCTCCAGCAGTGTCACCCCTGCCATGAGTGTCAGTGCCTCGGCCTCCACCAGCCAGGCCTCCCTCTGCAGCTCCCAGGGCATATCCCGCACCGTCAGCGACATCTCCGGAGACCAGTTCCAGGCGGGGATGGAACTGGCCATCCCGCCGGGATTGCTGGAACAGCCTCACGTGGTTTCCAGCCAGGAGAGTTTGGATCTGTCCCACTGCAGCA